CCCCCCCCCCCCGCCCTTCGACCTCACGGCGGCATCGCGGTGGGGGGGAGGGTGCCGCCGTTTGCGGCGACGGTGCCCCTTGGCACCACCCCCTCCCCCTCCCCTTGGCACCCCCCGGTTCGTCGTCGCCCTCGTCCAATAGCAGCACCCTAACCCTAAGAAGAAGGTCTTGACCCTGGAGAGAACATAGTTTTCGTGGTCACGTCACCAGACGAGACGAGACGGGTGGGCGGGCGGGGCGGGCGCGGGCCGCAGGGCGATAGTTAACGACCACATTGCGCGCGCGCGCCGGCACCCTTAAACCACGTCGTTGCCTATGTACAGATTTGTCAAAAAAAAAATATCTTTTTGAGGTTCGCTTGGCTAATCGAGCTAAACACACGTTAGCTGTGTGAGCTACATACGAGCTCGGCAAACGTTTTTAGATGATGGCAGCTGGCAGTTAATTCACACCAACACACTTGCATCACGCCCTAATGACAATACTAGATACTACGCTCTGATGAGCCCCCACTCCGCAGGCGCGCCTTGTTTACTTGATACAGTAGATGCGCTAAGAAAAGTCGTGCTCCGCTGCAGCTCCACGTAGATGCGTGGTGGATGGTGATTGTTGATGTTTTCAAATCGAAAACCGTTCCGGTCTACGGTCAGGTACCGTCTAACCTGGTCCAACTGACGTCGACGATGATTGGCTTGTTTATTGTCTTTCGCCGTGAAGTTACTCGTACAGCAGTGGATGATTCAAGACATTGTCGGCTTGTCTCACACGGAAGGAGGGAGTGATCTCATCCCCAGCGTTCGTGCAAACTTTCGCGTTTGTGTCGTCACAACAGCTCTTTCTGCGAGGTAACAGCAGGCCTTCAACTTCCGATGCGGAAAGCAGGTATCTTAGTAGTGTGCGCCCATACGCATGCCGTAGTCGTTAGACCATTGACCTCGCATCCCTACGCGATGCAGGGACGGAACGATACCCCACTGTGCTGTAGAGGGGCGGGATCTATTATAGCTTGATCTCGACTCCGGATGTGCGTGCTATCTACGAAATCTTGCATGAAAGCACGGGTACTGTCTAAAGGGCAGATACCAGAATAAAACACCGTTGATTGCAGAAGATACCACACACTCTACTCCACAGCACAACTAGTGGCGGTGTCGAAATGGTGACATTGGGGACATGCTATAGCTTTCCGAAAACTCATCGCTTGATATTAGCATCCTCGTTCTCGTGGGGTACCGCAGGTGACATGACGTAAGATATCACACTCCCTGGACCGATTTTCAAAGCTCGATTTCTCAACAGCAGAAAGTGGTACTACTGCTGTACAGTAGTGCCGAAGACGTCGGCGTTGAAGCCGTCTCGTCGAGAGAGAGCTTTCCGAAAATGTACCGTTTCATTTGTGCATCCTCTTGGTCATGGAGTAGTCGAGCTCTGAAAATCGGTCCAGGGGGTGTGTTATCTTGTGTCATATCGCATACGGTAGTCGAGCTCTGAAAATCGGTCCAGGGGGTGTGATATCTTGCGTCATGTCGCCTACGGTAGTCGAGCTCTGAAAATCGGTCCAGGGGGTGTGATATCTTGTGTCATATCGCCTACGGTAGTCGAGCTCTGAAAATCGGTCCAGGGGGTGTGTTATCTTGTGTCATATCGCCTACGGTAGTCGAGCTCTGAAAATCGGTCCAGGGGGTGTGTTATCTTGTGTCATATCGCATACGGTAGTCGAGCTCTGAAAATCGGTCCAGGGGGTGTGTTATCTTGTGTCATATCGCCTACGGTAGTCGAGCTCTGAAAATCGGTCCAGGGGGTGTGATATCTTGTGTCATATCGCCTACGGTAGTCGAGCTCTGAAAATCGGTCCAGGGGGTGTGTTATCTTGTGTCATATCGCCTACGGTAGTCGAGCTCTGAAAATCGGTCCAGGGGGTGTGTTATCTTGTGTCATGTCGCCTACGGTAGTCGAGCTCTGAAAATCGGTCCAGGGGGTGTGTTATCTTGTGTCAGCTATCGACCTACGGTAGTCGAGCTCCTGAAAATCGGGGTCCAGGGGGTGTGTTATCTTGTGTCATGTGGCCTACGGTAGTCGAGCTCTGAAAATCGGTCCAGGGGGTGTGTTATCATCCGTATGCAACCTACGGACGGTGCTAAGTGTCCTGGAAGGCGGGCTCTCGCCCCAACATGAACCGGGGAGAAGGGACGATTAATAAAGTAACTCCGACCCCGAGGAGGGACGGCAGGGATGTCTGCGTAGGCCTCAGCAAGGGGTGGGGCCGGTAGTGGACCCTGGGAACGAACGGAGCAGATCCTCAAATTTGACGAAGCCGGTGCGGGCGGGCGGGTGGGCGGTGCGTGCAGGCCTTGCAAGCGGGGCGAGGGAAGGGTTGTGGTCCCAGGACTCTAGTAAAATGCTGAACCAACACTGGTTGATACTGAAAAGCAAACAATCAGAAAGGGTGTGTTCGGTACGGCATTGGTATTCACGGTAGGGTATGGATGTCTACCGAGCGTACCGAGAGGTTTGGTAGGGCATGGAAGCTCGTACGGGTACCGGTACCTCAGCAATTTTGAAGGGCATACCGGTATTCGCGGCACGGTATGGAGGTCAATACCGAGCGTACCAACATGTTCGGCAGGGTACGGAATGCAATACTGGTACCGGGGAAGGCTATGCCGGTACCGGTACCAGCACCTCGGCAATACTCAATATTCAAGGGCATACCCGTATTCTCGGTATGGTATGGAAGCCTGTACAGATCGCACCGAGACGCTCGGTAGGGTATCTGTACATATATATATACCGGTGGTAATAGTATACCGTCGGTATGCCTCGGGACGTACCCTACGAACACACCGTTGGACAAAATAAAGTAGCTACGAATTTTGCGAAAAAAAAAATGGTAACGAAGCACAGCATGCCCGTTGTATCCGAAACCTGCGGTCCGGCATGCCACTCCCCCCGCCGGCGATACGCTCAACGGCTCAGGACTACATGTACGGTAACGATCGCTTCCGACACTGCAGGCGGCTGCAACTGTTGTATGCCCCTGTGCGCTTCGTCAAACCAACCTTGGGGGCGACGGCATACGGGAAATAAAAAGACAAAAGAAATGCCCGGAAAGAATCTCGGCAGATCACTTTCTCTGCCTGGATGCCTCACGCACTGGCACGTACTGCTCCCGGTGGTCGTGCAGCATGTGCACTCCGCCCAGAGAACTGACACAACCAGCGAAGCTATGCAAGAGATGAGAATCACACGTGGGTAAGGTACGGTTCATGGTGTTGGTCTCACCAATGGTAGTTTGTTGCCCGTGATACATCATACCACGGTACTGCCGTACGCCGCTATTAGGTTTTGGCCAGCAAACAAAAAATGCAAACATGGGACCGGTATACCATGTTGGTCTAACCAATGATAGTTTTTTTGCCCTTGATACACGTCGCTGTAAGTTTCCGCGAGATGAAAACGTGGGTACGGCGTGGTGTTGGTGACACCAATAGTTTTATTTATCGCCTTTGACGCACGTCACTATTAGCTTTCGGCGAGCAAACAAACAAAAACGCAGGCGCCCGAAGAACCAACAAGAGAAACAAAACAACAGCAAACCCAACAAGTCTCACCTCGCGGCCACCGTCGAATTGGTCCAGCGGTCGGATCTCGAGTTGTAGGTTTGGCGTTCGTCGAAGTCGAATCCCACGGCCTTTCGCTTCGGCAGGAGGTTCGCCTGAGACATCAAGACGTTGAACACAGCAAGCAGTAACATTCTTAGAAGCAAGAGGGAAAAAAGGAGTATTCTACACTGCTGCCGGTGGCACGACGTTAGATATCACACGCCCGTGTACCGATTTCCAAAGCTCGACTACTCCACGACGAAGAGGATGCATATTGTAAACGAAACGATACGTTTCGGAGAGATCTCGACCAGACGGCTTCAACGTCGCCATTTTCGGCGCTGCGACTCTTTCTGCTGTTGATAAATCGAGCTTTGAAATCGGTCCAAGGGTTGTGGTATCTTGTGTCACCTGCGGATCCTTGCAGTAGCCTTCGCGAAAAAAAAACAACTTGGTTTAAGTATTGTAGGGGGTACGAGGTGGGGTAGGGATAGGGATACAGACACGAACCCCCCCCCTCTTCCTCATACTGTTGTAGGTCAACAGGCAGTCCCTACCCCACCTACCTTGTCAAGGGCTTCCATCTGGGCCTCGTCTTGCTCCGCCTTTCGCAGCAGTTCTTCGTAGGCAGGGCTTGCCTGGAAGGCCATCTCGCACCTCTCCTGCAGTACCTCTAGCACCTCCGCGGCTGCCTCACTGAAGATGGTATACCTGTGTCGTCGTATCGTATGCATAGCCAGCCGCCGCCGCAGCATGTCAGTCAACATCAAATGTCCTATATTATTAGTATGCATGCACAGCCGGCCATCAACGTCGCCGCATACATGGGTGCCAATGTCAATTGTTGTCGAATGCATTGCCAGCCAGCCGTCAATGTCAAGTGCCTTCGGCCAAATCAACAATCGCTCATCTATCGTTCTGACACTGCTCTGCAAACACGAGCGGTCTATTGCACCGGCCAGAGGAAACGGAAGCAAGCTGCTCCTGGTACGAGAGACCGCAGACCGCACCCGTATAAACTACAGCATTTAAAAAAATGTTGCCCTATCATTCACATCTCCTTCAAATGTTGTAAAGTGGCACCTGCGATAGAATGATAGAAATAGGTAGCACCCTACCCGGCCGCGCCAAAAGGCAGGGGATTGTGCACCTACCTGGTGCATCTTGAAAATATAAAAAAAAAACACGCGACGTATGTACCGTAAACCAAACGGGTAACGAACCTACCTCGTATTGTAGGAAAGACACGAGGGATGAGGAAAGCTGGAACCGAATCCCTACCTGGTGACCTCTGAAGCCAATATCCTATCTCGACAGGCTTCGGTAAGGTCCACCCTGCAGACCGCATTGTCCGCGATATATGTGTCCATGATGTCCATCGTCATCGCTTGCCTCTGAAAGTGGCCCTCCTCCTTATCTCTCTCCATTACCGCCTGGCATCAAAATCAAACCAAAGGACCCAACATTTAGGACCAGGTCGTCAGCTCACTTTTGCGATCGAGAATAGAGAACGTCAGCGCCTGTACCGAACGTGCGGCAAATTGTCCGCAACATCGAACGCATGCCGCTACCCGCTTCTTGGAGCACCACTGCAAACTTTGGCAAGACAGCAGTATGTGTGTACGGGCTTTGGTTGCTACCCGACTTGCAAATGAAAACAAGTCAGTCCTAAGCGAGGAAAAACGCCAAAAACAAAACAAAAAAGGTTGTGTGTGTGTTATTTGTCATATCGAGGCAAGCAGAATGCAGCACAAAACAGCACGGAGCACACCGCCCACGCCCACAGGTTGTAGTAATTTTACTGTACAGCAGTACATAGGTACCTTGTAGAACCCGGGCAAGGCTGGCCGCAGTCTCTCCTCCGCTATCTTTTCGAACAGTGCCCACAGTTTGTCCACCTTGAGCTGGTCAGCGAGAGACGCCCTGCCCATGGAGAAGAGAAGACAAGACAAGACAAGACAAGACAAGGCAAGACAAGACAAGACAAACGGACCGATTCAAGTTCAGCGAGCGCTCATCAATAATCTCAATTCAATTTTAATCACGTACACATACTTGCACAAAACAAGTGGTCCGTAACGACTCAGCAACATCTCTACGCCTGCAGGCGCTCTTTGCCGATGGGGCCGGCATGGGGATAACACTGAGGTATCGTGTGTGATGTGAAGATCCCATCGCGCAAATCAAATACGCTACAAAAAAACACAACATTGACACACACATAACAACAAGAACTACAAATGGTCCGTAGCGACTCAGAAGGATTTCTGCGCCCACGAGCGCTCTCAGGATCTCTCAGCGCATGAATGCAAGAAAGAAAACAATAAAACGCAAACACCGCCACGCTCTTGAGTTACCGGTTACCTGAGCATCGCAGGAGTGATGGACGGCCTCATGCCTGCCGAAAACCGTTCCGCGTATCGCTGGTCCCGCTTGGCGTACTTGCAGAGTGGGGTGAAGATCACGGGCCAGAAGAGCAGGAGGCCCCTGACCATGTTGTTGAGCAAGGCGATGCGGCGAGTGAGGGTGTCGTCCTGCGCTATCGCCCCCATCGTCAGGTTTACCGCCGCCAACGTGAGCAGCAGTGACCCCAGCGATAGCATCATCGCCCGATACTCGGTCATCTGAGTGCGGTGGCAAGAGCGAACCGATCGCAAAGTAAGGGAGGGGGTATTACGATACGTGCTGCTGGAAGGGGGAGACAGCGGGGGTTGTCACACGTATTGCTGTCGCGAGATACAGTACAGACTTGTTCGTTTGCGACACCAACAGGCGGATCGCCAAGTATCATACGTACTGCTGCAAGTGAGAAACGTACTTATTCGTGTGCAGCACCAACAGGCGGATCACCTGTACACGTGGTATCATACGTGCTAACGTCGTGAGATACATCCCAGTACACATGATATCGTACGCACTATCATAGCGTCGTGACATACGTACGTGGGTGAGTGACGCAAAGGAAAAAAAAAAACTAATCGTGGAAAACAGAATTTTCGCTGACGCTATGGATTCATTGCCAATTCGTTGGGTCATACTGACAAAATAAACAAATCTTCTTGCTCCTTGTTTTCTATTCTGCACAGAAAAGTGTGGCCATATCGCTACTTGGTATGCATAGAAGTGCATGTAATTCACTCTGGTGCGTGGCGCGTCTCGTCAACTCTGAAACCGATATCCTTAGACGACGGACTGCGTCGTTGAGGGGACGTTCGTGACCAAGATGCGGTAGTGTAACGGTAAACGAGGGCCAGTAGCATTCGCGCGGAAAGCTTGATCTTCATGTTAGCAGGGGGTAGGGTTAGGGATACGAGCCCCCCCCTCTCATTCAAACACAGTATTAACATACCTAACCCTATCCTACATACGCCTATCACCAGGACCGAATAAAGCAGCGTCTCCCACCGCTGCCAACATGTAGTAAGGAGGACACGCACCTGTCTGCGAGCATCCCTCATCTTCCAGAGCAGGTAAACCGACCCGATCACCAGCAGCCCCGCGTAGTTGAAAGCGCCGAGCAGCACGTATCGGGCGTTACCCTTGCACCTGCAACAAACCAACCCACAAAAAGAGAGAGAAAATGAGCCCATCACACATGTAATGTGCACACAACACAGAGGGGGAGGGTGTGAAAAAACATCAACGTCGAGTGAGATGAAAGAACGCTATAATGGCGTTCTCGCCCACCGTCCATGTACTTCGGACCGCCCACCGGCATTGGCACGACCCTTAAATCTATCTCTACTGCAGCTCTGCTGTTGCTGTGATTTGTCTGTGCTTGTTCGAAAATACTCTCTACACAAAAAAAAATGCACCAAACGGTGAAGTAAGCATATAAAATATAACTCACGTATATCACGCGTCGATCGTTAGCGCCTGACGTGTCAGTCTTTCTCCTGTTCTCGCTCGACCTAAACACATTTTGTGCCGGCTGGTATCACCTATCCTTCGGTGAATATGCTTAAAACTAAGAACAGACTCAATAGGGAGTCAGCCACGGTATTGAAGAAAATATGTACTAATACAACCAAGAGGTTGAGTTAAGTCAAGGAAATATTTTCTCAACCACACCTCGGGTCATTTTCATCGACACACCTTAGCACCTTTTAACGGGCCCACCACAGAAAAAATAGAAAGAAACTGAATGTCAGCGCAAACAAAGGATGGGGGAAACAGAATAAAAACCTCCCACATCGAACTTATCTAAAGCAAAAAAAACTCTCGTCCGTTGGGGGAATGGAAGAAGACGCCTTGATGGACGTGGCGAATTCCGAGGGCTACAAAGAACAAACATCTGATGAGACAAGAATCATGACGGTCACTGCTGCTTGTGTGTCCGCTGCGGCATCACACGGCAGTTCACACGCCAGAGGGGGTCTGGCCCGGACTGCCGGCCCGGGAGCTCACGAGGCGTTCGGCACGCCACGCACCACAAGAAATTTCTGAACTCTCCGACAATTATGAATACATGAATACTCCGACATGGAGACCACCACTGACTTGGAGACCACCACCCCACCCGGCCGGCCAAAGGCGGCAGGCAGGCAGTCGTCTGTATGCACATATGCATATAGCGGAGAACGGCGGCGGAGTTGAATACCCAGGCAGTTGCCACATGACAAAGAAAATGTCACGCACACGCTGGCTGGCTCCGGAAAAGGGAAACAACCATGGGGCCTGGCCTATCTGGTTTGTTCGTTTGTCCGGAGGATAGAGAGGCCACAACACGGAGTATCTTTCCCCGCCGACATTGTCGTCGCCAACCAACCATGAGCACGTGTGGATAGAATTGCAAGGGGATACAGGTACCGCCACATTGTTCCCGCTGGCATCACTGCTCTCTCACTGCTGTTGTCAAGTCTGTATAAACGAGGAGACCGAAAACTTCTACGTGTATTTTTTGTTTTACCTCATGACATTCGGAGCTGTGAATATTTTTCAGAAAACCATCGTTCACATGTTGGACGTATCAGGCGGTAAATACGGGTACTGAGCGAAGACCGGAATGGGTTTATAATGTCAAGACAAACACACAACAACAACAACAACAACAACGCTTCTGTGCGCACCCTACAGAACGGATATCGTTTTTCTAAGCGTTTGTAAGGACGCACGCACCTGTTTGCTTCGAAGTCAAAGCTGGCCACCGAAGGAATAAGCAAGAACATAGCCGCCACCCACACCGGGGCCTGCACGATCAAAATCTGTACCGTGGGAGGCAACATGTCCACGGTGTGCAGCATCAACACCTTGTAGTTGCGATACACCTGTGCGAAAAAAACAAAGCAAAACAAACAGAATCGGGCAACAGTTCGCGGGTAAGACCAGCATTCTTGTAGTCGATGAAGGCGAAGAACGAATGCCTGGGAATCACCAGTACGCCGAGATCACTCGCACGATAAGCGAAATGAACTTTATTAAAAAACAATACAAAATCGGACAACAGTTCCCGGGTAAGGTCAGCATTCTTCTTGTCGACGAAGGCGAATATCGAATGCCTTGGAATCACGAGCACTACTAATGTAGTGCGACGAGCGAAACGAACCGTGCTGTTTTCGCACCAAGTCCCACAAGGAGTGAAAACGGCCGTGGTATCACGCATGAGCCCGTCGAGCTCTACGGATACGATTGCTTAGCTTACCCTAATAACGCGGCAGCCGAAACACAAAGGTAAAGGGTCAGGGATACGATTAAAACACAACCGTAAAAGGTCAGGGACACGGTTAAAACACAACGGTAAAGGGCCAGGGAAACGGTTAGCAGCTAGCTTAACCCGACAACGACGCCGACGACATACAAGGCGTAGGGTTAGGGTTAGGGTTAGGGTTTTATGGTTAAGCTTACCCTGACGACTGCGCCCGCGAAATACAATCCCGCGCCGGTGGAGACCACGACTCCCTGGAAGAAGCAGTTGGACCACAGCGATGGCGACGAGTACTCCCAAAAACCGAAGGATATCACCACCCCCGACAGGTGGATGAACCCCGCAACCCCGGTGACGCATACTGAAACGGTGCGGTATGTTCCACGGTACGGAAAACGACAGACACCAGATGAGGTGGGGGCGGGGGGTCGTCATGGGTTAGAAAGAAAATGGGCATCCATACGCACACAACACTATGAATTCATTGATTACCTGTGGAAGAAGAGATGAACGTTTTGTTCCTGAAATAAAAATAACCAAGGTCAATCAATATCTAGAGAGGCACCACATACAAAACACCCAGTACGACACCCACGACTATTACGGCGACAACAGCAGTCAGAGAACAACCGCCAACAGCAACAGCACCACCACAACAACACCATTTACACAGCCATCACCATCACCATCACCAACACCATCACCAACAACTACCAACTACCACATAAGCAACAGACGTCACATGTAGCGTGAAGACGTACCTAATGGGACGTTCTTGACGAGGTACGGAGGCCAGTCCCTGCACGCGATGAGGTGGACTACCACGGCCAGAACAAGCACCTGTCATCCGCATCACATCACATCACAATCACGTGACATCGTTCAGTTCACATGACATCGTGCACATCACATGGCATCGCTTGTACTGTATCACATCACATGGCGTCGCGTCACATCACGTCGTTCAGTTCACATGACATCGTGTACATCACATGGCATCGCTCGTACTGCTGCATCACATCACATTGCGTCATATCACATCACATCATATCACATCACGCCCGTGAGCCAAAGGAACACGACAAGGACAACGGTCGTTGAGAGATAGATGCCAGCAGTGTCGCAGAATACAACATCAAGATTGTAAGTTTTCACATGTTCGTATTCCTTCCCAACCACGTGCCCCCTATCATTCCCCAATGTTCGTTCTTCGGTCCCGTGCCGTCGAAACACTCTGCACGGGCTAATCCTAGTATCATTTTTCACGCTGTTGCGCCGCCCGCCACTGCGGTCATGACCATATCTGAGCGCGGCGTGCCCAAGATAGTGGTGTGTCTGTCTACAGAAGAGTTGCGTACTGAAATCCCAAGAGCGAATCTTGCACCAGCATCATGCATTGGGAGGGGGGGGGGGGGGAGGAAATGCCATTTTTTTTCCCGGCAAGGGAAATTCAAGCAACGCCTGGGAAAAAAATGCTACACAGAACCCCCCCCAGGACCAAATTCTGCCGTTGAAATATGCATGCAGGCAGGTCAACATGTGCACTCAAGCAAACCTTGACCTCCCGTCCACAGGGACTGTATACACACAGTATGGGTTTTTCACATATTACTGACGAACGTCCTGCAAGTTTTTTGGTATGCGTTCGGATGCCCCAGCCGGGGGGGGGGGGGTGCACAGGGGAGTGAACTCGCCGGACTGCTGTCTTGTTATTGGTTGCTCGATGTTTGGCGTCCGAAAACGAAACTTGTAGCTTTCACTCCTGTTTTCGAAACTTGTACTTGGAAGTAACGTTTACTCCTGTTTTATCGCGACAAGGATCGATTCAGTCGTTCCTATCCCTCTTCTCGCTAATAACACATACTGGCGTCGGTTTTGGTAATCCACAATAATTAATCGTCACCCACAGAAACTTGTTTGGGCACGTTTTTTTTTTTTTTTTTTGTTCTTCACTTCAAATCAGCGCTCACAGCACTAGTGCCGTTTATTCCAACCCGTGGTCACACAGAAGAGCCTCTCTCTACCCTCCCATCCTGCGGTACTTCGCCTTCAATTTTTAATGCGAGAAGAGTTCAGCACTCTCTTCCCTCTGTGTACACACGAACTAGCGCTATCCACTTGGCCAGGCGCGTATGCATAGGTGCGAAAACACTTTCCGAATTCCCACATGCCCGGTCATGCGTATGTTTGGATCGGCAACCTGGCCACCCTTTGGACTTTGAACCACAAGGCTGCGGGGCAGAATCTCTGTGTGCGACACTATACTTGCAAAGTATGCTACACCGACATCCCCATGGTTGGATCGACCACCTGGCTACCCTTTGGACCACAAGGCTGCGGTGTAGAATCTCTGTGTGTGACATTATACTTGCAAAGTATGCTACACCGACATCCCCATGGTTGGATCGACCACCTGGCTACCCTTTGGACCACAAGGCTGAGGGGTAGAATCTCTGTGTGCGACATTATACTTGCAAAGTACGCTACACCGACATCCACATGGTTGGATCGGCAACCTGGCTACCCCTTCAGCCTCTCCAAAGGAAGGTTACGATTTACATGCAAGTAGGCGTGAAAGCCCATAATCTTTGAGAAAACACAAGGTTAGGGATTGTTGAACCCTTCCCGCTTGAAAAAATGAAGACACACACTGCAGGGGACAGAAAGGCGGGGAGAGAGAACGAAAAACTCCAGCTTTTTAGCTTTTTACATTCCTCCAAAAGGCGTGACCCAGGCTGTTGTGTCGTATAATCAATGTACTCATAAGGGTGAGACCCCGAAAATCACAAATATAGGAGGACTTACACACATGCTTGTTGTTGTCTTCAAATAAAAAAATTTGCACGCACGCAAAGAATGCAAAGATAAGACAGTGACGACGCGTAGATTTTTCTATTCTATGCATACACAACGAAAATACGGCTGATCTCCGTATTGTTGATTTCTGGTAATTTTTTGTCTCGCACACCCTCCCCCAAAGGAAAAAGCCATGCAGATGCACAGATGCACACGCATGGCATGGTCTACAACATGCAGGGACGAGAAAAAAAAATCGCAATGCACACACACCTGGTTCAGATGGGCAGATCGAGGTTCTTCATTCCAACGACAGCAGTTGCACACGGATACTACATGTAAGGTGATACCGCAACAAACAGCTGTAGTATGCATTGGATATGCGGTGTGGTTGCCACGGACCAACCAACCGAAGCCGCTGCCGGTTGATTCCTCCCGTTGCAATCACTTCAAAAATGAACGCAGGCTCTTGGGAGAGAGAGAGCAGCACCCAAAATCAGGACGCAGCAAATCAGCAAACATGATCTCATAGATGATGGAGGACGTGTGAGAGACCTATACTTTCAGGTGGATGGCATACAGAACAAACCTGGGCCCAGGGAAAACAAACTTCTACTTCTGCTGTACCGACGTAGCCAAATTCAATACAGCAGCAGTGCATGCATGCTAGCATGCGTTCGGTCTGAATCCATCCCAGGCATCCGTCTCCCAACCAAACCCGCTCTGCTACAGAAGAAGCGCGTGGGGTGCATACCCACCACGACCACAACGATGTGGCGGAAACCAGCGGGATCAACTCAACGACAACAGCATACCGCCCAACGTTCTACTTCGCAAAAAAAAAAAAAACTCCTTCTGGCGAACGAACAACAAACTTTTCGTGAAAGTATCGGGAACAACAAAAAAAAGGATCGATTGATCGCCCCCCCCGTTGCAACAAGTAACGCAGGGGGACATCTGGCTGTTCTGGCATCTGGCATGTGGGAGGTTGCGCTACAATACTACCAACGCTTGCCGTGCTGGTTGCTAGAGCTGCAAACAGACGCGAGACACCAAGCTTGGCTCTCTGGTACAATATGTGTTTCTGGGAGAACGGGGTGATGGGCAGCAAGAAATCGCCCCTCCTCTCTCCGCTGCCTGCCTGCCGCCTCTGGCAAAAAAAAAGCTGGCAAGTAATTCAAACCGGAAAAAATAGCCGGTCACAGAACGTGTGTGTGTGTGTGGGTCAACCAAGAAAGAGACAATTTTCAAATCAAATCAAATTAAAAAGAGGGATTTTTTTATTTTTCTTAATATGACACCACCAAGAGGATTTTGTGTGTGTCTGTCTTACCAAATATGTTTTGATGCTGTCCGTGAGACACGCCAAAAAAACAGGGCCCTTGGCTTTGCCATCGTCACACGTAAGATTTGGCGCAGAGTCGGTTTATCGTGGGTGCTGCTACGGTAAAACGACGCTTGTGCGAGTGCGGCCACTTCTTTTGGCCAAGCTACTGCACGTATGAAATTTGTATCCGCACTTCCGCACCCCCCTCCAAGAGTGACTCATCCCACAGGCAGTGAACTGAAGTTGCTGAAAACAACGACCAAAAAAAAAGAGGTGGTGCTGCTGTTGGAAACTTGCATATTCTTCGGTGGTGGCACTGCTGCTGCTACTATTGTGGGGGGAGAAGGGTCGCGGCAGTGACCTCAGCAACTTGGACGACGAGAGTCGGGGGGGAAATATTGAAATATTTCAACCTCGTAGCACCGCGGATTTTGACGGCGGGCTCGATCCCCTCTGTCTGGTCTCCTGAGGTTCGC